GAGAGAGGGGAGAGGAAAGGGAAAGGAAAGAGAGAGAGAGAGAAAGAGGAAAGAGAGGGAGAGGAAAGAGGCATAAAATAATTCATTTGCATTTAATTGTAATGGTTCAAAGAATGTTCGGAAAAATGTTCGGCCCTCCAGCACGTTCACTTCATCCAATCTGGCCCTCTTTGAAAAAAGTTTGGACACCCCTGCCCTATACCATTTCGGACAAATGGCAGTCCAGTCTCTTCTTAAAAACTTCCAGTGTTGGAGCATTCACCGCTTCTGGAGGCAGGTAGTTCCACTGGTTAATTGTTCTGTCAGGAAGTTTCTCCTTAGTTCTAGGTTGCTTCTCTTCTTGATTAGTTTCCATCCGTTGCTTCTTGTCCTGCCTTCAGGCGCTTTGGAGAATAGCCTGACTCCCTCTTCTTTGTGGCAGCCCCTGAGATATTGGAACACTGCTATCATGTCCCCCCTCGTCCTTCTCTTTGTTAAACTAGACATACCCAATTCCAGCAGCCGTTCCTCATATGTTTTAGCCTCCAGTCCCCTAATCATCTTTGTTGCTCTTCTCCGTACTCTTTCTAGAATCTCAACATCTTTTTTACATCGCGGTGACCAAAACTGGATGCAGTATTCCAAGTGTGGCCTTACCAAAGCATTGTAAAGTGGTATTAACACTTCACGTGATCTTGATTCTATCCCTCTGTTAATGCAGCCTAGCACTGTGTTGGCTTTTTTGGCAGCTGCAGCACACTGCTGGCTCATATTTAAGTGATTGTCCACTAGGACTCCGAGGTCCCTCTCACAGTTACTACTATTGGGCAAGGTACCCCCTATATTATACCTGTACATTTGGTTTTTCTTGCCTAAATGTAGAACCTTGAATTGAATTTCATTTTGTTAGATAGTGTCCAGTGTTCAAGTCTGTCCAGATCCTCCTGTATCTTAAGCCTATCTTCTGGAGTGTTGGCTATTCCTGCCAGCTTGGTGTCGTCTGCAAATTTGATGAATTCCCCATCTATCCCCTCATCCAAATTGTTGATGAAGATGTTGAAGAGCACTGGGCTCAGAACAGAGCCTTGGCATACCCCACTACACACTTAATAGTTAATAGTTCTGAGCAGTAGGTATCCAGTGGGTACTGGTTACACTACTATGGGCAACAGTGGCTTTTTCTAATTCTTATTTTTTTACCCTTTCCTTTGATTTTCATAACATATTTATATATCTCTACTGAAAAGGAAGACCCCTGAATTCAGTCTGGCTCACTTCCATGTGTATAAGATTGATCTGTAATCATGACTTTAAAAATGCAGCAGTTTGAGAAAATTTTTATTTGGAGTCTGATTAAGTCTTAAATGATAGAACCAAAGAAAAATCTCTTTCTATACAAAATATTTACATTTCACATAAATAAATAATATCTCAATTGTAATTTGCTCTCAAAAGCAGTTTTATACTGTAGAAGATCTTTTTTTTTTTTTTTTTACCCCAAAACTATATTGGGAGCACTTTCTGAGCCAACAATCAAAGCTATATCAATGATATTATCATTATTCTTGCTATGCCTGAGGCAGAAAGAAATTATGAACAGCTACTGAATTCATTATTTAAGTCACCATCCTGACATGGAATATCTTTCTTTAGCACAGGTGTGTCCAGCCCACAACCAAAGGGCTACATGTGGTCCACAAGATAATAAAAAATATAAAAAATGAAGTTTGTTATTAATAAAGGAAAATATTTGTAGCCCAAGGTTTGGTGCTCTCTGGGCTTGTCTGTTTTCTTATAGATGTTTTATTACCCAAACTAGGTAACATCGTCAGTGCCAGTTACCTGGTTTGGGTAATGAAATGTCTGCAAATAAACAACCAAGTTCAGAGAGCACCAAGGATCTCTGAAATTTGTTATTTATATACATTAGCTATATTATATATTTTATATGCAGACCAAGAGAATTCTTCTTGACGCAATGTGGCCTAGGCAAGTCAAAAGATTGGACAATCAAGCTTTAGATAGAAATCTAAAATAATAGAGGATCAAGAAATCCTAAGTTTGTTAAATTAAGAAGGATCTTTTCTTCTGAGGAGGGATGTGACATTAACAAGGGCTCTATGAACAAGAAGGGCATGGCTATTTGGGAACCTCATGTCTGTGGCTTGATAGGGATTGCCAGATTTGGGGAGGGGGAGTATCTCTGTTCAGTAAATGTTATATTAGTAGAGTTTTGTGTCAGCTCATTGACTGTTAGACATCTTAATTTGGCCATGAAGAATTCTGAATCAGTATTTTTGTCAATTCTGTGAGCACTCTAAATAATTTGGTATATCTTACCCTGGTTTGACCTCTCCACTGTTCACCTCTACTCTTTCTGAAATACTTGAATACTTGAAAATAAAGTGCCTTAGCCTCAGTACAAATGTTCTGTTTACATCCCGACTCTGTGTGAATGGAAACTAATTTATTTCTACTTTCTTCTTCCTGTACTTCAATCAGCTACCAATCTATATGGGGACTTTTCCTCTTATCCCATGGCTGCTAAATTTGCTCAGAGTCTTTGATGAGGGACTTTGTTAAAAGCCTTTTAAAATGTCGAATAAACAAGGTGTCATGGTTCTGACAGATGAAACTCTTCAAAAGAACTTTGAGGCATTATTTACCTTAAAGAATCTTTTATTCGAGAAACATAATATCGGCACTACATAGTTGAAACCAAAAGCTAAATTCCCCTCCCCTGGGTACAATGTAACAAAGCACAATTCCCTCCTCCAATTAACAGTCATGAATCACATTCCCCAATTAGCTTGAAGCGTGGGCTTTCTCCCCAACTCTCCACCCCACCAAAATTCTAACAACTCAGGGCCCAATGACCTTGGGTTCCCATGGCTAAGTTATTATTTTTATGACTAGCTAGACTCTCATCCACCTTCCCCCTCCCAGCATCAACTAACTCTAAAAGCAATAGAGGAAAAATGGCTGCATTTCCATCTGTTGTCAAAGCAAGAGCAGCGTTGACATAAGGTCTGGCAAATGAAACTTATCCACTTACTTGATGAAACTTTCGGATGTCTCTAAAAAATCAGTGAGGCAGGAATTACCTTTGCATAAACCCTCCTAAAGAATTAGCAAGATGTTGCCATATGCCCAGGTGACCATTCTATTTTTTAATACCACTTTCCCACCCATTTACCTAGCTAGGCGATCTATACTTTCCTGAATCCTTTTTAAAAATTGACATTAGAGCCATTTCCCATTCTTATGTTACAGAGGTTAGTGTATGCATGTTTATTTATCTCTTGTTTTTAAAAGCTGTAGAATGGCACTGTACTTGTGCAGTTATTAAATTGGTGGTTTTATTGAACTTTCCAGTCCTTTGAAGACACCGCTGAAAATGCTGGATGTTTCTAACTGTTCGCTGAACCATCTTGACATGGCTTATTTAGCCAACAGCCTGCATTCAGAGAGCCTAGAAGCTCTTGACATCAGTGGACATGATGTGGCTGATTTGTACCCATCCACCTTCTTCAAACTCCTGAACCATTCATCTTACACACTGAAAAGTCTCATGCTTGAGGAATGCAACATTCAGGACATTCATATCAACATGCTGATTTTGGGATTGGTTCCTTGTCGGAAATTAGAGGAGCTGAAGTTCCTTGGAAATCCTCTATCTTCTCGAGCCTTGAAATGTCTTTTTAATATTTTCGTTGATTTTCCAAGACTGAAATATATTGAATTTCCAGTTCCGAGGGATTGCTATGCAAGCAACATCAGTTACCCAATTGGAGAAAGTGATCTTTCGAAATTCGACCACCAGAAATATGAGGGAATAGTCGAAGAACTTAACATGATTTTATTGCAAGCAAAGCGGGAAGACATCACGGCTTCTACTCCCCTCTATGGAGGGTATGATGCTGCAATTCAGGAAACAGGAAATGAACTAGGAATTTCTTTGTTGAAGTCATTCCAAGATGCCCTACAAAATTTCAGCGTGGCACTTAAAGAAATGAGCTGAAGTTTGAAGCTGAACAAGTATAAAGAAACAAAATGTGAGCACATATGGAGAACTGAAAAGAGGTTTGTAGTACCATCAAACTGATATCATGGTCACCTGAAGATCTCCCATAGAACTATAACCATCCTCTTTTATACTGGTTTGACCTTCCATCCTCTTTATTTCCTGAGAAAATTCAGACACACATACTAAAAATAAGATAAATCACAAATGTATTTTAAGAAGTATACATGGACCTAGTGATGCCCATCAGTTCCCTATTACGCAATCCAGTGTTGGGCACTCCATTTAGGGAATTCCAGAGCAAGCCCTAATGCAATAAATGCAAAACTGTAACCCACATTGCAGCCTTCCTCATTTATTTTTATAGATATTTTGGCAAGAAATTGAAGCTCTCATTGGCAAATAAATTATGCGATTTGGATGCTAAATAGATGCTTGTTTCAGAATGCTTCAATATAGGGTACTTACCATTTTAAGTTCATGAACCAACCTGAGATTTCACCATGTCTATGCACTCAATATTAAGCTGCGGTTTTTCTGTGAGTCCTGTGGAATGGACATTTTATCCTAGACAGCCCAATCTACCCAGTTTGTCCAAGAGAATATGATTAAATTAAATGATTTCTGTGCATATATGAGTTAGAGAAATGACTATCAGTCTCTAATTTTCAATGTTTTTCTTGGTACATCAGATGTTAAGTGCAGCATATAGCTGAATATACACAAGAAATATAGAATATATATATATACATACATACATACATACATACATACATATATTATCTTGAGTTTGGTGCACCCTGTCGGCCCAAATATGGGAGAAAGGCCGACAGGGTGCACCAAACTCAAGATAATTCTTCTCCCCTGTCTCATAGCTGACAAAGTGAGAAAGAGCCTGTGGTCTAGAGGTTAATACATCTGCCTAACATGCAGACAGCCCAGGTTCAAATCTCAGAAGGGTATGTCTGGTTGAAAAGAACTAAAAAGTTTGAAATGGCTATTCCAGTTCTCCCTTAATTCTTTGTTAGCAATCCAAATTTTGAAAAAACATACATATATATATATATTTGTCTGATGTTGCCTGACAGTATATTTGACAATACAGTAATTATAGAGAATTAACAAGTATATTGAAATGAGTTTTTCTCTTAGAATTCTTAATTTTCTACTTAGTTTTGTCATACTCTAGAACTTTATCTGCCAGATTCTGGACCAAAAAGGTAAATACAATCCATGGATTTCCCTCATTCACTGGGCAAGATCTTACTCCTGAACTGTAACAACAGGTGGGGCTTGAGAAAGTAAAAATGAGGTACTCCCACTCTCCCTCTTCACCTTTGGGAAGGAGGAGGAATGGAAAGTACAAGTAGTCCTCGACTTGTAACTATTCGTTTGATGAAAGTTAGAATGGCACTGCAAAAAGTGACTTATGACTGTTTGTCACACTTACAGCCATTGCAGCAGCCCCAGGATCAAAATTTGGACGCTTGATACCTGGAATATATTTACGGTTGTCCCGGCGTGATCACATTTTGCGAACTTCTGACAAGCAAAGTCAATGGGGAAGGCAGATTTACTTAATAACCAGGTTACTAATTAAACCACTGCAGCGATTTATCTAACAACTCTGGCAAAAAAAGGTAGTAAAATAGGGCAAAATTCACTTAACCACTGTCTTGGTTAGTAATGGAAATTTTGGGCTCAGTTCTTATAGTAATTCGAGGACTATCCAAAATGACATCAGGGGAAGGAGGAACAGAAAGGGAGAGACCCTACACAAAACACAGAACTACTTGATCTCTCTTGGTTGACTGTCTCCTGCCCAACTGTCACCCCTCCACTTCAACAACAGAAAGAGCAAAATTTGCTGATCAGGGGAAAGAGTTTTTCAAGGGTGACTTCAGTATCACTCCTCTTCCTTTTCCTCCCTGCCTGCCTGGGGATTATAGGTTAGTTTAACTTGCAGCACACTAACACACAGTACAAGGTCTGTACAGAAGCTCTAGAACAGCGTTTCTCAAGCCTGACAACTTTGCAAAGTCTGAAAAACACTGCTCTGCACCAGAGCGGACAACCTGAAACCCCAGGTCACCTGAGGTCTCCAACTTCGCTATTTCCCCCCCCCCCCTGCACTCATCAAGACTCTGTCTATAATTTCTGAAAATCAAGAGAAGAGTTTCTCACTATTGTGAAGGAAGTAGTGTAAGCCCTGGATAGCATGATATGCGTATTAAAAGACAAAAAAAAAATCCTTTCTGAAGGATTTTAGAAGGCAAAATCTTCTAAATCCTAGAATTTATTTTCTAGGAGGGAAAATCTGGTCTAACCAGCATGTCAGGTACAGCTTCTCCTCTGCAGTGCTGTTTTTTTTGACCTTTGCCCTCCCCAAATGTACAGAGGAATGTGTCCTTCCCTCTACCACCCCTTAAAAAGAGATTTCCAAACTTTCACAAGAATGCCAAGGAAGCTCTGAAGACTAGACACAAATTTCTGATCCAAAGCATCTTGTGCTCAATCAGGAAAACTAAAATGCAGGAGAAGGGGGGGGGCTGCTGCAGGGGAGCTGATGAACTGCTAACATCTCAAATAATGCTAGGTTCCAGAGAAACAAAATGTTTTTTTTCCAGATCTAAAGTAGCTTGCTAATATCTTACAAAATGTGTGTTTGAATCAATTACTGTTGAACAAAGAGAACTTTATTCTTAATTATACCTTTAATCACTTTCTTAACAAAAAGCAGATAGCTCTGCATATAAAGCACACCAATCTGGACAAGGATCTGATTTTAAACTGCATTGTTCTCTGAGTCATCATTTAATCCTAAATAAAGTCATATACATTTGTTATGGCTCATTGAATATGTAGGACATAGGCATACACACACACACACACACACACACACACAAACACACATACTGTAGTAGTGGAAATAGAATGAAATGGAAACAGAGATTATTGGTTCACTTTCCATAATCAAAAGTAATATCCAGATGAGGAGAAATGAATACTGATTATTCAGCTTTTATTTTTAGTATATTACTGTTCCATAAGGATGTTATGGGATCTCGAATTCTCGATCAAATCTTTTGGCTGAGGTTCCTTCACATCCATTCCAAATGGAAACTTTCCAGTTCTTTATCTCACCCACTTTTTCAGATACTTTCCTTTTTACATCTCATTCACTAAGTATGGTAACTACTGTATCTGCCAACATTTTACATTCCTGACCTTCCTCACTACTTTTAACTAATGGCACTTCTGATCCTATGGAGCAGTGGTATTCCACCTTTGCTGCTTGGTGGCCCAGTTTGGGGGGGGGGGGAGAGGGGAGCCGAGCTGCACAAGCGGTGGCCCAGCACGAGCATGTGCACGTGTGTGCGTGTGTGCAGCTCCATTCACCCAAGAGAGAAGAGAAGCTTTGGGGCACAGTTTCAGGATTTTCCATGCCAAAAGCTTTTGCAAAGGGACAAAAGGCCTGAAGCAGCACAAGATTGCTTCCCCGAAGCCTTTTGTCCCTTTGCAAAAGCTTTTGGCTCAGAGAAGCCTTTGGGGGCCCAGTCTTCAGACTCACCGAGGCTGCCTTGCACTCCAAAAGCAGATTGGGTGTCTTGCACAAGCAACCTCAGTGAGTCAGTAAAGCTGAGCAGGGCACGCTCGTCCCACTCAGCCTCTGGTCTCACCGCTTTGCTTTTGGAGCATCAGGAGTAGAGGGCTTGGTGGCCCAGCTGGGAGAGGGGAACCTGGCCGCGCGAGCAGCAGAGTGGCAGGCAGGCAGGCATGTGCACCTCCACTCACACAAGAGAGAAGAGAATCCTGGTTCCGAACAGACAATGGCCCGGTAGTGGGCCACGGCCCGGGGGTTGGGGATCCCTGCTATAGAGTACAATTTTTTCATCCTAGACCTGGGATTCTCAGCCTTGACAACTTTAAGATACATTGACTTCAACTTGCAGAATTCCCCAGCTAAACTGACTGAAGAATTCTGGGATTTGGAGTCCACACATCTTAAAGTTGTCAGAGTTGAGAAACACTACTGTAGAACCCCCCCCCCCCACATTAGAATTCTGATTCTCCTCTTCCTCTTAACTTTTGCCCTACTACCACAGGTGAATCTTTGTTGCTTTTATTTGGAGAAAATTAATATTAGATGTGATGCTCATTTAGAGAAAGACACTAGGGGAATTGATAGATAGATAGATAGATAGATAGATAGATAGATAGATAGATAGATAGATAGATAGATAGATAGATAGATAGATAGATAGATAGATAGATAGATAGATAACCTTTATTGTCATTTTTTACTGTGGCCACATTGGCACACATTAAAAATGAAATTTTGTTGCTTGCTTTCAAAAGTGTACACATACATAACACACATTTAAACATGCTATATACAACATGTGCACAAACCTACACCTTTACATATAAATAACGTTTAAATATTAATTATTGTCCATCTTGAATACATAGCGGAAAGAGGAAGCTTTAGAGTTCACAAGGTTAATACTGTATGGAACAAAACTGTGGCTGAGTCTTGTTATCTCCCAGAAGGTAACAAGAAAAACTGGTTGAAAAGAGGATGGGTAGCATCCCAGACAATACTGAGGACCCTGCTTAAGAATCGCTTATATAGTATGTCCTGGATAGAAGGGAGTGAACTGCCAATAATGTTTTCTGCCATCCTCACCACTCTCTGCACAGCCTTCCTGTCTGAAGCAGTGATGCTTCCAAATTGGGATGATTATTCTTGGGATAAATGGTATTTTCGAGCTATTGTCCCAGGAACTGAGTTACTTTTATCACAGAAGCGGTTGATATTCACTCTTGATTAGACTGTAAAGTCAGCACTAGGGAGCTATTGATTTTGCAGTTATGGAGCTTGTACTTTTAGGCTAAATAACTAAAGCATTACAAATTGAATCTAAGGATGCATACCATGTAATTTAATGCAGACATGAAGTGTAATTTGAAAAGAATCTTGTATTACACCTTGATTTAACTCTGATGGAGTCAACTAAAGCAATATACGCTTGCTTCAGTAGTCAGGCTCTCGTGGTTTACACCAATGCAAAGTTCCTTGCTTTACAATATTTTAGAAAAAAAAAAGCATTCTTGTGAATGTTAGAAGATTGAATTACGTGAAGGAAGAAGACTTGCCATGTAACAATGACATCATCTTCATCCTCACTTGTACATACATGTGTAGGCATTATATTGGTTACAGGGTTTGTGAGAGAAGCTCACATAGGGCCTTTCTGAATGGATATCTATAGGTACCCCTTTCTTGCTACACTGTATAGGGCAGGGGTAGCTATGCTGACTCAGGAATTCTGG